GTGTTTCTGATTATTGGTTACCTAATCAATGGTAATTCGTGTCATTGCAATTGACGATTACTCGGTTATCACTCAATTTCCAATTTCAATTACCGATTAATAAAGTAATCAAAAAAGAGGAAAATAAAAACTCAAAATTTTAATTAGACGAATTTTGGAGAAACTGAAATTTCTTTTGTAACAGAAGAAAGAGCAGAAAAAAGCCAGGGGGACACCAACATTTTCGTAACTCTAAGTGTCCCCCCGACTTTTTTCTGCTGTTTCTTCTGTTACAAAAGAAATTACAGTTTCTCCAAAATTCATCTAATTAAAATTTTGCGTTTTTCTTTTTCTTTTTTTAAACTACTCAATGATAACTTTCTCGTCAGGGGTTTTTAATTTTCAATTTTTATGGATGAAGGTCCATGTAGCAGATGTTAATTAGAAAATGGATAATCAACCTATCTCATCGTTAGGAAATCATTTGGAGATATTTGGAAAATAGTTTTCGACATTTGGAAACCCAAATATTAATTAATATTGATTGATTAAAAATTGGCCGTACGATTGGCAGAAATGTCCAAAATTTCCATCTTGACATTGTCAGTCAGCGCAAAATTATTTGCATAATCGGTGGTTCATATATCAATGTTTGGAAAAATTCATTCAATTAAATATCAATAGTTTATTAACGAACATTGGTTTATGAACCAATCGATTATCTACATGATTTTACTTTGACTGAAACTGTCAAAGATGAAATTTTCGACATTTTTGCTGAATTCTATGGCCAATTTTGAATTGATTAATATTAATAATATTTGGGTTTCCAAATATTGAAAACTATTTTCCAAATATCTCCAAATGATTTCCTAACGACTAGAAAGATCAATTATACATTTTCTAATAAGCATATGCTCAATATATGGAGCTGCAGGAACCACCGGGAACAAGGAATACGGGACGACGAAGCATAGGAGACCCCCAGTCTAGGTATTATTCTGTCTATGGCGTACACAGTAACAGCTGAAGAGCAGTAACTAACCAATTTTACCAACGGATTTTTTGTTTGCTGGCTAGGGAATTTCGGTTTAATATTTTCACCGTCCCCAAATCATTTTTCTAAATACATTTTGTAGGAAAACGGAGTACTTAATCAAAAATCGGGCTCCGTAGTTGAGTTCCCCGCAATGTTCTCTTTATTCCTGATACAAATATTGATATTTTCGAATCGTTTTTCATGTAGTTTCGTCCAAACACAGATATCGAAGAGTCGTGTTATGGACCGTCACAAGCATATACCCCTCCCTCTGGTTTGCCGTCGAGGGTAAAAATGAAGAATCTCAATTAAAAAATTGACGGTGTAATTGTAATTAGAGTTAAAAATATTATAAAAATAATGATTACTCCCGAACCCTGCACAGACCCAATACTATTGAACAAGCATAAGTTCCGTGAAGAGCATGCCCATGAATCTGAGTATCGATTATCAATTCAATGAGTCTGATAATCATTATGATACCAATAATTCCAGTACTCGCAGTACCAAAGGTGACAAATTTACCCCAAGTTTATTCCCAGGCTAGTGTTTCCCGATCCAGTATCGATACTCACTTATATCGATACTTTTTGTTCCGATATTCGATATGTTGCATCGATACTTGCGCGTCGCGATATTGGATGTATCGATATTTCTGGGTTGGAATTGATATTTTCTCACGGACAAGTAATGAAAAAAAAAAATTAATGTGAAAAATATTCATAACGGATTTAAAGACCAGGGAGGTCACATGAATACGATGATTCAACGGGGTCAAAATATCAGAAGGGACGAAAGGATCACAAGGGGATGGTCAAATTTGAAGAGGGTCAAATATCACGAGGGTCGAACGTCATGAGGGTCACAAGGGGATGACCAAGTTTCACAAGGGTCAAACATGACGAGCGAGATAAGGGGACGATCAAATTTCCCGAGGGTCAAACAGCACGAGGGTCACAAGGGGATGGTCAAATTTCACGAGTCAAACGTCACGAAGGTCATAAGGGAATGGCTAAATTTCACGAAAGTCAAAGGTCACGAGGGTCACAATGGGATGATCAAATTTTACAAGTGTCAAAAATCACAAGGGTCACATGGAGATAAGTTTCACAAGCGTCAAACGTGACGAGCGAGACAAGGGGATGATCAAATTTTACGAGGATCAAACAGTACGAGGGTCACAAGGGGATGGTCAAATTTCACGAGGGTCACAACGAGATTGTCAAATTTCACAAGGGTTATAAGGGGATGGTCAAATTTTACGAGAGTCAAATTTTTGCGAGCGTCACAAGGGAACGGTCAAATGTCACGGCAGTTAAGCGACACAAGGGGACGGTCAATTTTCACAAGGGTCAAATGTGGGAGGGTCACAAGAGGACCTTCAAATTTTACCAGTCAGACGGTACGAAAGTCATAGGGAGATCGCCAATTTTTCAACTTTTCAGGACCCGAAATGATTCCGTGAAAAATTCAATAAACTTGAATGGTGAACACCATTATCTTTCCTACAAAGAGTTTGAGATTATTCCATGAGATTCCCAAAGATCATTAAAGCATGGTATTTCCTTGTGACTCTTGTGATCCTTTACTCCTTGCGAAAATTTACATTGGACCCTCGTAGAAAATGACCATTGGAATATTCAAACGTCATAATATTTCATTATTCCTTTGTGACTCTCGTGAGGTTTGATCCTCTTGAAGATTTGACGATCCCCTCGTTACCCGTGGGAGGTTTGGTACTCGTGAAATCTAACCAACCCCTAGTCAATCTCGTGGCGTTTCACTCTGGTGAAATTTGACCCCTTGTGACCCTCGTATCGTTTGACCCTTTTGAAAATTGACCATCCCCTTCTGACTCTTGTGTCGGTTGACCCTGGTGAAATTTGACCGTCTCCTTGCGACCCACTTGCTGTTTGATCTTCGTGAAATTTGACCATCTTCTTGTGACCCTTGTGTGTCTTGTGTCGGAGTACTCTCGTGGAATTTGATCGTCTCTTTGTGATCCTCGTACCGTTTCCATCCCGTGAAATTTGACCATCGCCGTGAGACGCTCGTGACATTGGACATTTGTGAAATTTGACCATACTCTTATGACCCTCATGACGTTCGACTCTTGTGAAGTTGGACCATCCCTTTGTGACTCTCGGGCTGTTTGACTCACGTGAAATTTGACCCTCTCCTTTTGACTCGTGACGTTTCACTTTCGTGAAATTTGACCATTCCCTTAAGACCGTCGTAAAATTTGACCATCCCCATTTTACCCTCGTGTCGATTGACTCATGAAATTTAATCGTCTCCCTATGGCCCTCGTAACGTTTCACTACTGTGAAATTTGACCATCTTCTTGTGACCCTCGTGACGCTTGATTTCCGTGAAATTTGATCGTTCCCGTGTGGCTCTCGTAGAGTTTGACCCTCGTGAAATTTGATCATTCCCTAGTGATTCTCGACACGTTCCACCCTCGAATGAGCAAAATAATAATTCTGTGCAAAATGTAATGTGAATGACACTGAATATTCACAACGTATCTCAATTTTTCCTCGCGCAATTTAATTGGTAAATTTGATAATTTCAAGTGGCGGAATCTATAGAGTGGTCTGTACCAAATTGTAAACCATTCTGGGATACCCTCACGTGGATGAATCTGAATGTTTAAGGTCTTTTAATGCGACATTCTTCAACTTTAATTTTTTTTTTATTTGCCATTGTCATCCAGAAATTTTAACTAGTGGATTGGGCTGTTGGTCGCTCGCTGCGCTCACTCCCATTGCGGGTGGGTTCGTAGCAGGTGAATTCATCTGGGTCTGACTCATCGGACGGGTCGCACCACCAACTTCCCGATATTATTATTCCTCCCATTTTGACTAAAAGAATCCTTTTCAACTCTCAATACTCTGTTCATTTATTCATGAGAAACCCCTGTCTGAGCGATTTTCGAGCTTTTCTCCAGGAAATTTTGGGAAAACCACTGGAAAAACCACTGGAGTTTCAGCAAATCCTAGCGAAATCACTGGAGTGATTGACTCTAGTGATATCCTGATGTTGACAATCCCAATCACATCATTTATACAGGACAGGAAATACTTATCTTAGCTATTTTCAAACTATTCTCCAGGGAATTTTCGAAGAACCACTGGAGCGAATCACTCCAAAATCTAATCAGGTCTAAGTTACATGAAGATCTTTCGATTGCGTCATCATCTTGATCGCGCGATTCATTCGGGAGAAATCGTTAACGAAAATTCNCAGGAAATACTTATCTTAGCTATTTTCAAACTATTCTCCAGGGAATTTTCGAAGAACCACTGGAGCGAATCACTCCAAAATCTAATCAGGTCTAAGTTACATGAAGATCTTTCGATTGCGTCATCATCTTGATCGCGCGATTCATTCGGGAGAAATCGTTAACGAAAATTCCGTTATATACAGACCTACATACATACACATACACACACACACACACACACACACACACTCCTCCTAGGAACTGCAAGACCTTGTCGCTGGTGGAGCTTAACGGGACTTGTCCCGAACTAAGAAGCAGTTCAGAACCCCCAATGTCAAGGTGTTCACCGTGCTGATTTCTGCAAGGCGCCAGGGGTAGTTGGCGTCGCAAACGGTGGTCCCTGGGGCACCGGGTCCAACCCCAGGTGTATTCTGTGGCCTAGCTTCAGTAACCGGGGCTCTACTGAGGTGGTCCATTATTTCCCTAGGTTCTCGTGGGAACAAAATGGATCTCAATAAAAACCAAAAAAATGAAGACGTGAAGCAGGACAGCTTGGTCCAGGAATCGGAGCTAAGTGACGCAGCTACCATGAAGGAGAACATGTGGAACAGGCATGAACAGCTTATTGCTGACCTAGTGAGCTACATGAAGGAGAAGAGGAGCATCAACGCTTAAGCCCGAGAGTTGGTGAACTCTATCAGCACCTCAGCTAAACGGCTGAGGCGACTGGGAGGACAGGCAGGGCAGACCGGCCCAATGCTGGTCACACCAGCATCTTTGCTTTTAGGTCGAACGCGGACGCTCTCTGAAGGCACCGCGACCTCGATGGACTCGGAGTTTGAGGATGAGAGCTTAGCTCTCTCTGACAACAGCAAGGCTTCCAGGATGAAGAGGAAGTCCCGAGAATCACCACCGGCGGACACCAAGGACCCGAAGAAGAAGAAGAAAGATGAGGTGAAGGTCGCTCATGCCCAGAGCAAAAAGGAGGATCTACCTGCAAAGTCTTTGAACTGGGAGCAGGTCAAGACCAAAAAGAAGAGGCAGCTGCAGCCGCCAGAAAAGCCTCAGAAGAAGGAGGTGAAAAAGAAGAAACAGAGGGTACTGGTCACAAGGCCAAATGCGCTGATCGTACGCATGAAGGACAAGCAGCAGTACTCGGAGGTACTCAAACGAGTGAAGCAGCAGATACCTTCCGAACAGGCTCGTGACTGCGTTGACAAAATCCGCAGAACGACCACAGGAGATATGCTGATCATCCTCTCAAAGGATAAGGAGAACGAATCTGATAGCCTCCACAAGGCGATAGCCGAGCTCCTTGGAGACGAGGCTGATGTCCTCAGTAAAGGACCACAGGAGGAACTTGAGATTAAGGATCTCGACGAGCTGACGACGAAGGAAGAGGTGCTTGAAGCCCTGAGACTCACAGCCGGGGTAGATTGTCAAATTTCCCCGGATGCCATCAGGTCTTTGCGCAAGGCCTACGGAGGTACCCAGACTGCTTCAGTGATACTGGCCGCAGCCGTCGCGAAGAAAGTCCTAGGCGATCGAGGCAAGATCCGTATAGGATGGGTGAACTGCCGGATCAGACGGGTGGAGAGAGTGATCAAGTGCTTCAAGTACTGGCACTATGGGCATCTCGCCATCAAATGTAGGAGTCAAGTGGACAGAGCAAAGCTCTGTACAAAATGTGGGGAAGATGGACACAAAGCTGCTGGCTGTGAAAAAGCAGCCCTTTGTGCCTTATGCACTGAGAGAGATCCATCGAAGGACTGTGCCCATATTGCTGGTAGCAGCAGATGCCCTGTCTTCAGGGAGGCACATCAGAAGGTGAATAAGAAACAGTAATGCGGATACTACAGCTAAACCTCAACCACTGCGAGGCCGCACACGATCTGCTCATGCAGACGGTGCGGGAGCTGAAGTTCGATCTGGTGATCGTCTCGGAGCCATACAGACATTTGAGCAATCAGCCCTGGGAGACGGATAAGAGTCGCAAGGCCGTAATCTGGTCTTGTGGGAAGTTTCCGTTTCAAAGCATTGCGACTACTGATGAAGCTGGCTTTGTGGTAGCTAAGCTGGATGGAATTTATTTCTACAGCTGTTATGCTCCACCAAGCCTCACCCTTGACGAATTCACGGACTTCCTGCATAGACTAACTGAGGACGCGAAGCAGCACTTCCCTATTGCAATCGCGGGGGACTTCAACGCCTGGGCAGTCGACTGGGGTAGCAACGAGACAAAAGCAGAAGGGCAAGCACTACTGGAAACCATGTCTTCGCTGGACATTGTCCTGTTGATCAACGTTGATGGACCCACGTTCGAAAGAGGATACAGGAGCTCAATAGTAGACCTCACCTTCGTCAGTAGTAATCTCGCAAGGGAAAACTACTCCTGGAAGGTGATGGATATCTACACCGCTAGTGATCATCGAGCAATCTTTTGGGAGGTGTCCGCTGGTCGAAAAAACAGACCAATGCCTAGGAAGACAAACGAAATCGGCTGGAAGGTGAGCACCTTCGATCCTAGCACATTCTCAGTGGCACTGGATGATTACCCCATANTTTATATATATCTACACCGCTAGTGATCATCGAGCAATCTTTTGGGAGGTATCCGCTGGTCGAAAAAACAGACCAATGCCTAGGAAGACAAACGAAATCGGCTGGAAGGTGAGCACCTTCGATCCTAGCACATTCTCAGTGGCACTGGATGATTACCCCATACGGGGCAGCAGTGCTACGGAGAAAGCCGAGGATCTCATGAGAAGAGTTAGCGAGGCTTGTGGTGCCTCAATGCCTCGAAAACGCAGTGAAGGCCATCTGCCACCAGTGCACTGGTGGAATGATCATATTGGAGCTCTTCGAGAGGAGTGCGTTAAGGCTAGAAGGTCGGCTCAGCGTGGTCGGAAAAAGNGTGGAATGATCATATTGGAGCTCTTCGAGAGGAGTGCGTTAAGGCTAGAAGGTCGGCTCAACGTGGTTGAAAAAAGCTGAACTCCGAAGAAGGAGAAGTCTGGAGAAGACTGGAGAAGAAATGGAAGGATGCTCGCCGAAAGCTCAACAAAGCTATCAAGGAGAGCAAAAAGAAAACTTGGACTGGACTCCTTGACGAAGGCGAGAGTGACCCGTGGGGAAGACCGTACAAGGTGGTTATGATGCGGCTGAAAAGCAGGCCTATGCCATCGCCGACCTGTCCCGAGCTCTTGAAGGAGATTGTAGCGGTGCTTTTCCCGCGACAACCGGAATTTCAGCGTGCCAATACACGAGGAAAGACTTTGATGGTCCCATCGATCACCGAGGAAGAGCTGATGGAGGCGTGCGACAGATTCGGGAATGCCAAGGCCCCGGGTCTTGACGGGATCCCAAACATCGCACTGAAAGCCGCTATCCATGCGTTGCCAGGCCTCTTCTTGGACGTTTTCAACGAGTGTCTCANTCCATGCGTTGCCAGGCCTCTTCTTGGACGCTTTCAACGAGTGTCTCATCGAGGGCATCTTCCCTGCAAAGTGGAAACAGCAGAGGCTAGTGTTGCTCTCGAAAGGGAAAAAACCACCGGACGAACCTTCATCCTACCGTCCCCTCTGCATGCTCGATACAGCTGGTAAGATCCTTGAACGCATCGTCCACAGAAGAATAGAAGCAGCTGTCGAACCAATGCTGGCCAACGACCAGTTCGGCTTCCGGAGAGGCCGTTCAACCCTTGAAGCGATCAATCTAGTTGTCGATACAGCTAGGGAGGCGATTTCAGGGGAGAGATGGCTTGGAGGCACAAAGAAGTACTGCCTGGTGGCAACACTGGACATCAGGAACGCCTTCAACTCAGCCCGATGGGACTGCATCATGGCGGCCCTTGAGAGGTTTGGTGTACCTGAATATCTGCGGAGGATGGTGAACGACCACTTCACCGAGAGGGTCCTCAAGTACGACACGGAGAGTGGCCCCAAAAGGTACAGAGTCACTTGAGGGGTACCTCAGGGCTCGGTGCTGGGTCCTCTTTTGTGGAACATCATGTACGACGGACTGCTGAAGCTGACACTGCCACGCGGTGTGCGGCTCGTGGCTTTTGCAGATGATGTGGCCGGAGTGATTGTAGGAAAATACTGGAAGACATGAAGCTCACCTGCGGAAGGACTTTCGAGGTGATTCGCCGTTGGATGGACTCCGTCGGCCTGAGCCTGGACGAGCATAAAACGGAGGCTGTATTGATCACAAGCAGAAAGGCGTTGGAGACAATCACGCTGCAAGTCGGGGATTATGAGCTCACATCCCAGCCGTATATTCAGTACTTGGGAGTGATGATTGATGCCCGATTCAGTTTTAAGCAGCAAGTGGAACACATCACAACTAAGGCGACAGGGGTTCGAGCAGCTTTGTCTCGTCTCATGCCCAACATTGGAGGTCCCAAGCAGAGGAGATGAGCATTACTGTCATCGGTGATTACGTCAGTACTCACCTACGGCATTGCTGTATGGGCGGAGGCCCTTCAATTACAGCAGAATCAGCGCAAAGTGGGGCCTGTCTACCGACTCAGTGCCCTTAGAGCCGCCAGCGCATTTCGCACCGTGTTCAACGATGTCGTGTGTGTTATAGCCGGAATGATGCCAATTGAAGTGCTAGCCGAGGAACGAAGATCCCTATTCCAGCAAAAAGGAGAGACGTCATTAAGTCCAACCGAGATTCAGGCTGAGGCCAGACGAAAGAGCATAGAACGATGGCAGTTACGATGGAGTACCTCACTGAAAGGTAGATGGACATATCGTCTTATCCCGCAGGTGAGTGCTTGGGTGAATCGTGAGTACGGAGAGACCAACTACTATTTGACACAATTGCTTTCAGGACATGGGTGCTTCCGGGCTTACCTTCATAAATTCAAACATGAAGATTGCCCGGATTGCCCGACCTGCTTAGGTACCACGGAAGACGCAGAGCATGTATTTTTCATGTGTCCACGTTTCAGAACGAGCCACTTAGAGTGGGAGAATGAACTTGGAGTATCGATCCTGCCCGAGAACTTGGTGGAAGCCATGCTGTCATCGAAAACAGCCTGGGACGCAACGAGTGACTGCGACGAAAGTCATAAAGGAGCTCCGCGAGGAAGAGCGCCGTCGAAAGAACGCTGTATAGGAGGAAAAGCTACCGGAACCTTCTTCCCACGCCCAACACCTAAGTGAGGAAGGAGGACGTACGGTTAGTGATGTTAGTAGAGGAAGAGCAAGAGCTGATGTCCCCCCCTGCGAAGTAATGCCTGACGGCCGTTCCGTGGGGAATATGGGGTAAGAGGAATTGAGGAAAGAGGGCTTTACTCAGTAAAAATCTGAGATCCGTTTTTTTTAACATCCTTTTAACGGAATCTTTTGAAGATTACCTTAAACCTCAAAAAAAAAAACACACACACACATACCACGGATCCTTTCGGCGAGGAACGCCTTTACCCTCCGAGAGTTTTCGCAGGTTGGAAGGTCCTGCAACGTGGCGCGTCCCCAGGTGGTGGATGGGGCAATGCTCAATATTCTGAACTGCCGTTCAGAATATAGGGTACCGACTAAATAAAATACGTCGGCGCGAACCAACACCTTCCGAGAAACCCAACTCTAAAAGCGGTGTGTAGGGTGGGCTCCCTAAAACACCCCCGGGTCAGGCTCCCGATAACAGCTAGTACAAAAATGATGAGTGATGAAAAAATTGAAAGTTCCCATGCGGGTAGCCTTAACAAGGAGAACCCCGCCATCAGTTCTGATGCCGGCTCCATGGAATATGGGAGGAGCCAATCATCACTTTATGTAAAGGTGGACCACTTGGCCTCAGATGCTACAAGTGGGGAAGAGGCTCAGCCTCAAGGGGTGACAAAGTTCACCGTACCGCATGAGTACACCTTGATTCCACATCCCACGAGTGTGGTGCAGGTGCAGACTCAGCAGAAGATTGATCTCACCGCCTCAAATGAAGGAGCGAGACGTCAACAAGAATGGGATCGCCACGAGAAGCTTATCGGAGATCTTTTGTCTCAGTTAATGAACAAAAATAGGCGAACAATAAATGAGAGTATTCGCCAGATGGCTAGGAGCGTCCAGACTTCTGCAAAGCGACTTAGATCAATGCATGAAAGTTTGCCAGAACAAGTGCCACCGAAGGAAGTAAAATCCGACAAACCAGCATTGAAAAGTGCTGAAATTGGAGAGCGGTTGGAAGACGAGGAGCGTCGGAACACTACAGTTCAGAAGAAGAGGAATCGAGAATCGCCGGGGACGCATTCCGATTCGCTGAAGAGGGCCAAACAGGACAAGACTCCAACTACACCAAAGCGGATCTCGGAGCCATGTCGTGAGACCATGAAGAATAAAGGTATGCCTTCCACCAGAAAGGTAGCAGGTAAGGGCACAGCCATGGATGTGACTGACCAGGACCAGGGCTATCAGAAGTGGAAGCATCGAAAAAAGAAAGCAAAGCGGGCTCCGGAGTTACTACGGTGAAACCCGGGCAAAAGGAATGCTCAGAAGAAGCCTTCAACCAGGCCGGAAGCGCTGATCATTCGTCCGAAGAGCAAAGAGATGTACTCAGACATCCTGAGGCGAGTGAAGAAGGATAGCGCCTGTGATAAGGCTAGCGACTGCGTTGACAAGATCAGACGCACGGTTAATGGAGACATGCTGATTGTCCTGGGTAGGAAGAAGACGGAGAACGCCTCCCAGTTGCGAACAGCCATTGCCAACCTCCTCGGAAAGGAGGCAGAAGTGCTAAGTAAAGAGCCACGGGAAGACCTAGAAATCAAGGATCTTGATGAAGATACATCCAGAGAGGACGTCCTCGAAGCTCTACGGAGAGTAGCAGGTGAGAAGCACCAAATA